GAGGGGGTCCGTTCATAAGTCACAGGTGCCTGGCTGAGAGGTATTAGGGGATATGGAGTGGAGCATATTCTTTTTGAAAAGTGGTCTTTTCTGGTTAAAGTAAAAAAACAGAAGAGGATTATTCACTAATTAAGGATGTTATTAAAGGACTGAAAATATTAATTATATTATACAATATATGTACATGCTTTTGAGGAAAAAATATACTCTAACAGCAGTTCAATAAGACCAAGGGGGGTATTTATTTCATGCAGGACTTTGATTGTTAATGATCTATTCTCAAATCATCACATCATAAGACAATGAGAAGAAATCCTCATTTGCCTTAATATCTTTGGGAATTATCTATATTTACAATAATCCAGTATCAGAGTACCCACTTTTTCCAAATTAATGGTGAAGCCCCTCGTCAGAAAAGTCTTATCTGTAGGTGAATTTGTCTATTTTCCCTCTCACCTTCCCAACAGGGAGAGGGTATATCATCTTCAAATCAATCTGAGCTGAGTTCAAATCCCAGCACCACCATCTGTAGCAGGTATATGCCTCAACTTCCCCTTCTGTATCGTGCCCCCTTAACCCATGCCCTTATACAGGCCCCTCCCACACTGAACCTGGGCTGGCCCTGAGTACCATCAGAACATGTTGGAAGTGGCACTGCAAGACTTCCAAGGCCAGGTCACAAGCATCTCTGCAGCTTCTACTAATGTCCCTTGGAAGGTCTGGTCAAGGGGAAGTGACCCACCAAGGCACAGATCTGACTTTCCTGAGACCACCATGGTGTAGGGAACCCAAGGTGTCCAGGCATGAAGAGATGGAAGGAGGGAAGGAGAAGAGGAGGGAGGAAGAGAAAGAAAGAGAACAGGGGGTTCTCCTGGCCCCCAGCTGTCTCAGCTATTCCAGACAAGTGAGTTGAGTCATCTAGTATGGCCAGCCCAGTCCAGCATGCAGATGACCCTGCTCCAGCACCGTTTAACTGCAATCAGTTAGAAGATCCTAAGAGAGAAGTGCCATCTGAATTTGGTCCACACACAGAACCATAAGAGATGCGTGAGTCTGGGACACCCTGGGTCCCTGTAAGTAGCAGCCTCCCTTATCTGCTCTTCTTATGGAAATACTATCAATTAAATCAGACAGGCTGCAGAGCCACTCAAATGCTCCTCCCTCCAGCTTTGTTCTCACCATGTTCCTTATCTTTATCTTTATCCTTACTGACGCTCACCCCTCAGAGATCAGATAGGGTTACAGATTTTCCAATCTAGCACCAACTCCGGATTCTGTTACTTAGCAGAGGCCACAGGTAATAAAGGTAAGCTCTGAGTAACTTGAAGAAAGTTCAAAATCTTTTCATAAAATATAAGATTCAGTTTTACCCTCTTCACTCTGTGGTTACAGCTAGTTAGAGAACATCACTGGGTGTCCACCACGTGCCTCCCAGTGGACAGGCCATGTGCCCTGCCTCGTGAGCCAAGACCCAAGGGGCCGCACGTGAGTGAACATGCAATCAGCCCACAGGCTTTAGGGGCATGAGGCCCAAGGACAGCTGCTACAGAAACACGTGGGAGAGGCAATGACCGTGTCTGCCCAGGCCTGAAGGGTTCACAGAAGCCACAGAAACAAACCACGACACAGAGGGCAGCAGGGGTGAAGACAAGTGTTTGCCTTGTCTCTGGGTGTGGAGGCACAGGGGCCTATGGGCCTGGGAATGGCAGGAGAGGCAGAGAAAGCATGTGCACATCCCACAGCCAGGGTGCACAGGCCTTCCAGAAACAAAATGTGGAAGAAAGGCATAGGACTAGCAGGTGGGAGGCTTGGATCATAGTTCCACTCTCATGAGACAACTCACCTTCTTAGTGTCTTAACAGTGTGACTACACCTCTAGGCTGTACTCCTGCCAAGGAGATCATGAAATCTTTTTTGTTGTTGTTGGGGTAAAATACATGTAACATAAAACATACCATTTTAACCATTTTAAGCATATAGTTTTATGGTATTAAATACATTCATACTGTTGTGTAACCATCCCACCATCCATCTCCAGAACTTTTTCATCTCTCAGTTGAAACTGTTGCATTCAACATTAACTCATCATTCCCCATCCCTGAGCCTCTGCAACCACCATGTTACTTTCTGTCTCTGGGAATTTGACTACTCTAGTCAAATAAGTATAAATTAAGTATGTATAGGTGGAAGCATATATTTGTCCTTCTGGGCTTATTTTACTTAGCATAATGTCCTCAGGGTTCATATATGTTATAGCATGCTTCAGAATTTCCTTCCTTTTTAAGGCTAAATAATATTCCTTTGAACATATATACCACAATTTGTTTATCCATTCATCTGTCAGTGGATATTTGGGTTATTTCCACTTTTTGCCTATTGTGAATGCTGCTGCTATGAATATGGGTGTACAAATTTCTGTTCTAGTCCCTGGTTTCAGTTCTTTTGAATATATACTCAGAATTGCTAGATCATATGGTAATTCTATGTTTAATTATTTGAGGACCTATCATACTGTTTTTCATAGCAATGACACCAATTTATAGTCCTACCAAGATTACCCAATTTCTCCATATCCTCACCAATAATTATTATTATCTGTTTTGTGGGGTTTTTTTCTTTTTTACAATAACCGTTCTATGGGTGTGAGGTGGAATCTTCTGGTTTTGATTAAAGGGATTTTTTAAAGATCAGCTGACTCATCCTAGTTCAGGGCATTCTCCATAGGGTTACTTATCTGTGTAGTTCTCCAAAGCCTCCAGCAAATTCAAGCACATGACCTTCCCAAAACTGTATCCACCAAGCCTGTCCCAGGGCAGGATACTGCCCCCAGCCATACATACTCCCTGGCCATCTTCGCCCACTTGACACAGGAATTCTAATGTTGCAGCTGGCTTTCCACAAATGCCTTCACACCCACCAATCACCTTGCTTCTCTCATCTAAGCCCTTCTTCAATAAGGTCCTGACATTAAACATAATATAAATGACCTGTGGTCCCAGGTGCCCTGGCCCATTTCCCTTCCACATAATCCTCAAAGGCACCCAGGAGTCAGGCAGTCCACCCTGAGCTTGTGCTGTGCAGAGCACCCCTGGCCCACCCAGCTACTCCAGTCACTGGGAAGAGTGAATGAAAAGTGGTAACGGAAAAAGCCACACCCAAGCCCCCCCAGAAAAAGGGCTGTGACCAGAACTTGGCTTTTCTGAATATGAGACTTGAAAGATGCTGCCGCATGGCAATCCACTTAAAGCCAGAACATTTAGTGAGACAGAGCTTTTCACGGTGTAAGAAACTGTCAGGTCCCCCTTGGTGCAAGGATGTGATTCCCCAGTTCTCGACTACCTCTGGTTCAGTCATTTCATACGGGTCAACTCTGCTGCTTGTCAGCAGAGATGGAAAAAGATTTTAGGGGAAGTTGACTCTGAAACCACATATCCTCAATACCTACAACAATGCCTGGCAGATAAGAGCTTCATGAATATCTGTTGAACAAATTAAAATGAAATTTATCAAAACAAAACTATGTCTGTCTTCTACTACCATGAACAACAAATCTGGCTTGAATCAATAGCGGTGGTGGTAACTGCGCAAGTATGAAATCGGTGAATATCACATTTTCACTTCTATTAATCCAAAGGCATATTACATAGGTAGCAGTAACTATCAATCCTGGTTGGGTATTTTAGGTTGATGAGGTTTTTATTTTCTTATTCACTAATTCCCTCGAACACATGAGCTGAGGTGAAATACCCTTCTCAACTCATCCTAATCAAGGGCTCGTGTGTTTATGTTTTGAGGCAAAGCAGGCACTTCACCCACCCGACGCCCGACACGCAGGTGGGAGCCCCTGAGGAACGTGCTGCTGCCTGATGTCTGCTGCCCTGGAATCCCATCCCAGGGAAACCATCCTTAGTTCTATGTACATTTTATGTACAGACTGCAATGTTTCCACTTTAAAATTGAATTATTTTTTAAAAGTCCATGATTTTATACTTTTACTCCACATTGTAGGTCCCTTTATCTCTCTCCTGAAGGGCCTCTTTGCTCATGATCCAAGGCACTCAGAGAAAGTTTCACCTTCTCTGGAATCTGAACTAGTCAGTGAGTTTACTTATTCTCAACCCCTTGACCTGGCAAGCTCATTCTTCCCAGAGAGCTCCTAAAACAACTCTTGTGAGAATACAGCTAACAACCACAAGCTTTTCTCAGTCCTTCTAGATATTTTCAGTTTCATAGCATGCTGCTACATGGTGCATTCAGTCAGCTGTGACAGGCTTCTCTGAGCACCGCCGAACCTTGGCAAAGAACCCTGCTGCCTTCCTCGCTGTCCACAGCACCCAGGTGTTTGGTGGTGGGAACACTCAGTTGGCCCATATTTTTTTTATATGTGCCTGCTTTTTTCTTCATACTGCAAATCACTTGTCATCAGAGGCTTCAAGTTCTAAAGTAGAGATGGCTTGGACAGGATCCAGGAACAGAAGCCCCAGGACAGCACTGACCTCTCGCTGTGCCCTGGCGGCCCAGAGCACAGTTCTCCCCTCTGCACTGGCGTGGCCACTGCGGGGCGCGTAAACCAGCAGGTCTTGCGATCCCGAGACTCGGTCACAGCAAAGGCGGGGGACCAGTCCTACCGAGCAGGCACTGGGCTCCGAACATTTCGGGGATACTGTAAACAGGAAGGTGCCAACCTGCGAGTGGGCGCGGGTGGCAGGGATGCCCGGGCTCCAGACTGAGACCAGGTCGTGGGGCTGTGCGGCTGCAGAGGAGTTGGGAGGGTCTGAGGACAGAAACCCTATAAAACTGCACAGGCCTCGCCAGCCGTCCGTTAGGGAAAAAAGCAGCAGCGGCGCCCAGGGGACTCGAGGGAGCAGCAGACGCGGTAGCCGCCGGGCCGCTTCTCGCACGCAGCGGCCGCGCGCCTGGCCGGCTCCAGCGCCTACCCGCGCATCCCAGCTTGGGCGGCCCCGCCACCCCCACCCCGCGCGCTTCCCGGCCCGCCCTACCTCGCCGCTTGGCGCGCACGATGCCCTTCTTTTGCAGCACAAACGTGGACCCGTTCACCAGGCTCGACACTACGGCCACGCCCAGGCCGAGCGACACCGCGGCGGGGCTCGGGCTGCGCGCCCCCTCCCCGGCCGCCGCCGCCGCCGCCGCTGCAGTCCCCATTCCGCCCGCGCCCGCCCCGCGCGCCTGCGCGCCGCCGCCGCCGCCGCCGCCGCCGGGAGGGGGCGGAGGCCCGGGGACTGTGGGCCCAGCCGGGGAGGGCCCAGCGCGTCCGAGGGGCCGGGCCTGGGAGGGGACGGAGGGCAGGCCCGCACGGGAATGGTGCCGGCGGGGAGTGGGCGAGATCCGGGGACGACGGGACGGCGCTGGGGCCGGGGGCGGGGAGGGCGGACCCGGGGCCAGCGGGGAAGAGCTCAAGTGGAGAGGGGGCCAGACGTGAGCAGAGGGGGTCCGAACAGGCGGCGGAGGGGAGAGAGGTAGGGCTCCCACGCTGGGCAAATAAAGACACAGGACGCCCAGTTACGTTCCCATGTCCTATCAGCACAGACAGTATTTTGGTGTGGGTCCCAGGCGGTATCGGGGCCCGGAAGAGCGCCAGCAGGACACAGCCTTCGCTGAGGTCCCCGCAGACGCCGCCGGGCCTGTATCCAGTCAGAGGCAGGGGGGCCTCCCGAACCTGAGTGAAACCAGGAGGCGTCGGATGTGGGAACCCACGTGGGACCCCAGAGCGGGGGGAAGTCAGCTATCTCCACACTGAGTCAGTGAGGTTGTAATCATACCTTCTAATTTCCTACTTATTTTTAGTAAAATTTATCAAAATTACAGAAAGCATGGAAAACAGAAAATAGTTACTAAAAATTAAATTCCCACAATCCTACCCTAATTTATGTGTTTTCCTACCTAAAGTATACATGCTTTCACATGTTTCCGATTACAATATCGCATTATACAAAATAACCTTTTTATTTATCATAATCAGCCTCCGTGTTGCTACATAATGATTATTTTACTGACAATACAATTCCCCATAAAGTTAATTACTATAATTTGTCTAACTGTTCAGCTATTGTTGGTTGTTACGTTTCCACCAGTTTTTTTCTATTATAATTGATGCCATAGTGAACATCTTCATAAATTTTGAAAATGCTAGGTTAAAGAGTATAAACCTATACCTATATGTAGCATTATTACTTTCTGAAACAATGTCAAATTATATACTGTTTCTGTCTGAGAAGTTATACTGACTGAATCTAGTCCTTTGCTTATTCTTATTTCCTGGGTGTGGGTAAAATTGTAACATTTCCAGAATACCTCACCTGGCTTTGGGGCATTTGCATATCCTCAGGGGTGGAGAGAAGTTCATCTCCATATCAATGGGTAATTACCTGGGCAACCGAGTGTGTGTCTGAACCTGAGAGATTAAGGGGAGGGGGCTGGCTTGCTGGCTGGCTTCTTCCAGAGCAAAGAGACCGCGCTGGACTGTAGTTTGTGAGCAATAAATGGGTTTTAAACTTTATTTCTCCCTTTGACTGATTTCGGTTTTTAGAAGTATTTTGTCCCGGGATTTCCTCTCCCTGGACTTAACACTGTGGTAATGATGCCAGGGTTCTTGTTTGCGGAGCCGAAGAAAGAGCTTCACAAACAGCCAAAGTAGGAGAGCAAGGTAAGGCTTTTATTTAGAGAGACAGTGAAAGGACAGAGCTCCCGGCTCACGCCAGGAGGGGACAAGAGAGTCTCCCAAAGTGGGCCGAGGTATTGTCTACTTGCTAAAGAATCTTGCCTCTTGAACTTTCTGGGTGTTAAAATGCAATCTTATCTTCAAGATGGAATTCTTCCTGTCCTTTACTATGCCGTCTACAGCTGGGTCTGCATGCTAAGTTAGTTGCTCAGTTTGCAGAATCACCTTGTCAGATCTGAAAGAGGAAAGACAGCACATAGGCCTGGGCCTTTTAGCATGCTAAAGTGAATCTTACACATGGTTACAAACGATTAGCATAATAAAACGTGCTACTTTTCTTTATCTGGGGAGCATTAACTGATCTCACTGAACAATGATTCTAAAACTCAATGTTTAACCTAGAGTTTTAGTAGGGGGGTTCCCTTGCATGTAGTTACATTGCTCTGACTGCAAATATCCACCCTGCCCCCTCCGGAGGCCCTCACCTTCCTCTGACTACATCCATGGTCCCTGTCTCAGTAACATATATATATGTGAAATAAAATTTTATTTTCCCCCTCAGTGGTTCCCACAAGCAAGGAAAACTATATACACTGTAGAGACCCTAAGGCAGCTAAGACAACTCCTGCTGTGCTATGAAGATGCCAGACAGCCATTCTCTCCTGTGTCAGCAGGATTGCCACGGTCCCTCACCAAGCCATGGCCAAGAAGAGAAACAGCCTTTGTTAGTGATCTTTCTCAGCTCTGGAAGAAGCTAGCAAGGAAGCAAGCCAGCCCCGTCCCCTTAACCTCTCAGGTTCAGACACGCCCTCCATTGCCCAGGTAATTACCCATTGATAGGGAGATAAACTCACAACTCCTGAGGATATACAAATATACCAAAGCCAGATGAGATATTCTGGAAATGTTACAATTTTACCCAGAGGCCACCGCCCCCAGAAATCTCATTTTACAATCTACTCGTTCTCCTTCCGCAATGGTCCCTGGGTGAGAAAACTGGAGCATTGTGACCAGACTAATGACATACCAATAACAACAGCAATAAATTTATGACAATCCTCAAGCTGGAGGATTCAGGTAGGTTCAAAGTCCCTGCAGGTTAAGTCCGTAGCTTGTCCATTCCCTGTGCAGGCAGGAGCCAAGGGTTCAGAGCAATCATCATGCTGCAGCTGCAGCCAGGGGGCGCATTCAGGCCACAAGGAAAGTAGGAGAAAATAACCTAAAAGGCGACAAGAGATTTTAATGACACCAACATAGGCAAATCTTGTCCATCAGGTAGGATACATGCAAGAGAGTGCTCTTGTGATAAAACAGAGGCAGGAATGGAATCTTGTCCTGATCTCGTATACCAGAATGTCACCCCCCTCCCTGTGGGAGTTACAAAAGGGTCAAATATATAGGGTAGGGGAGGTATATGCACTGGCCATAAAGATAAAACAAAACTTCCCTGCAAGATGCTCTTACCTCCTGGACATTTTGGGTACACTACTGTGACCTTTGAGGGCCATTCAGCTGTTACTCCAGGAAT